GGTGGGGGCTGGTCCTGCCTCAACGTGGTGATGAGACAGAATTCCTTGATTGCCCTTGGGAGACCTTACCCTCTCCGTGGAGCAGGCCTCAACTCCATTCACAAGGCAGCTAGCTACCCCGTAACAGCCATGCTATAATTATGCGGGCAGGCACCTCTTGCTTGACATGTGGGTACTATTAACACACCGGGTTGGGCTGAAGAGATGGCTCAGCAGTTAAGAACACTGGCCGCTCTTCCAGAGGACCCAGGTTCAGTTTCTGTTGTTAATGTTTTTGTTCTTTTGGCTTTTTGAGAGGCCCACTACCCAGCTCCCAAAGAAATCATACAGAGGAGACTTATTCTTAGCTGAGTGCCCCACCTTAGCTTGGCTTGTTTCTAGCCAGCTTTTCTTATCTTAAATTAACCCCTTAAATTAAATCCCTTTGGGGTTTTATCTTTAAATTATTTTTAAATTGATTAAATTAATCCCTCTTGGCTTTTATTTATTTATTTATTTATTTATTTGTATATCTTCCTTTCCTTCTTACTCCGAGGCTGGCTGGGTGGCTGGCCTGACACCCTCCTCCTTGTTCTCTCAGCTCCTTCTATTTATCCTCTCTGCCTACCAGCCCCGCCTACCTTTGTTCCTGCCTCACTATTGGCCATTCAGCTCTTTATTAGATCATCAGGTGTTTTAGACAGGCAAAGAAACACAACTTCACAAAGTTAAACAAATGCAGCATAAACAAAAATCGCACACCTTAAAATAATATTCTTCAAGTTCCCAGCACCCACATGACAGTTCACAACTGTCTGTAGCTTCCAGGAGATCTGAAGCCCTCTTTTAGTCTCCAAAATCACCAGGCATATAGGTAGTGCAGACATACATATAGGCACAACAGCCATACATATAAAGATTAAAAGAAAATGTGGGCTGGAGAGGTGGTTCAGAGGTTAAGAACGCTGACTGTTCTTCCAGAGCAGTTCAATTCCCAGCAACCACATGGTGGCTCACAACCACCTGTAATGAGATCTTGTGCCCTCTTCTGGCCTACAGGCATACCTGTATACATAATAAATAAATAAATCTTAAAAAAAAAAAAAGAAAGAAAGGCTGAATCCCAGCACTCAGGAGGCAGAGGCAGGTGGATCTCTGTGAGTTCGAGGCCAGCCTGGTCTACCAAGAGAGTTTCAGGACAGCCTCCAAAACAATACAGAGAAACCCTGTCTCAAAAAAAAAAAAAAAAGAAGAAGAAGCGGGCGTTGGTGGCGCACGCCTTTAATCCCAGCACTCGGGAGGCAAAGGCAGGCGGATCTCTGTGAGTTCGAGGCCAGCCTGGTCTACAAAGTGAGTTCCAGGACAGCCTCCAAAGCCACAGAGAAACCCTGTCTCGAAAAAAACCAAAAAAAAAAAAAAAAAAAAAAAAAGCTAAGCCTGGCCCACGCCTTCAAACCCAGCACTTGGGAGACAGAGGCAGGCAGATCTGTGAGTTTGAGGGCTGATCTACATAGTGAGCTCCAGGCCAAGCAAGATATATAGTGAGATCTTGTCTCAAAAAAAAATTAAATGAATAAATAAAAAGGCATACAAGGTCCACCTTGGATAAAGATCATTGATGACTAGCCACCTCCAGAAGCTAGTGATCAGGAAGTTTCCAGGTCAGTTCCAGCTTTATTTCTCTGTGCCCTACAACCAGTTGGTTGTTTTTAGAATAGGGTCTTATCATCTAGTAATGACAGCTGAGAACAACGGCAGTAGTCTGTGTTGTGACCAGTAACATACAGAGGGATCTCATACCTGATGCTGAATTTTTCATTTGCTAACTCAAATTTTCTTGGAGAGTCATTTTTTAAAAATCTTAAAGGATGTCAAAAGCTTTTTTTAAAATCTCTATGGATGTTTTGCTTGCACATATGTCTATGTACTATGTGTGCCTGATGCCCACAGAGGCCAAAAGGATGCCCTGTAATTATAGACAGTTGTGAGCTGCCACATGGGTGCTGGGAACTGAACCTGGGTCCTCTGGGTGAGCATCCAGTGCGCTTATCTGCTGAGCCATCTCTACAGACCTCGATTTTTTACTTTTTTTTTTTTTTTTTGAGACAGGGTCTCAATATGTAGCCCTGGCTAGCCTGAAACTCCTATTGTAGACCAGGCTTGGCTTCAAACTCAGATCTACTAACCTCTTTGTCCTAAATTCTGGGATTAGAGGAGAGTGTCATCATGCTCAGTGAGATTGTGGTTTTTTTATTAGAAAAAAAATTGTTGTTTGCGATAGGGTCTCACTATGTAGTCCTGGCTGGCTTGGAATGCTATGTAGACAATGCTAGCTTCAAATTCAGAGGTCTGCCTGTCTCTGCTTCCAGTGCTGAAACTAAAGTTCAAGAGCTTGCATATCATGGTCAGCAAACAGATTTTTTTAAATTTATGAGCGTTGGTGTTTTGCCTGCATGAAGGTGTCAGGTACCTTGGAACTGGAGTTACAGTCGTGAGCTGTCATGTGGGTGCTGGAAATTGAACCCAGGTCCTCTTGGATGAGCATCCAGTGCTCATAACCACGAGTCATCTATACAGCCCAATCAGAAAAATTTTTAACTCGCCCACTTTTTTTTTTTTTTTTTTTTTTTTTTTTTTTAGGCAGGGCCTCCCTGTGTAGCCCTGAAACTCACTATCTATAGACCAGACTGGCCACAAAATCACAAGAGATCCATCTGCCTCTGCCTCCTGAGTAATAGTAGCATGCACCACATCAGGCTCATAGGTACTGGGTTTTTTTGTTGTTGTTGTTGTTTTTTGTACTGTTTTGGTTTCTCTGTGTAGCCTTGGCTGTCCTGAAACTCACTCTAGACCAGGCTGACCTAAACTCACAGAGATCCACTGCTTCTGCCTCCAGAGTGCTGGGAACTCATAGTCAGGCTCGGTGATGGCAAGTACTTTTACCCACCATCATGTGGCCCTTGATGTTTGTTTGTGGGTACAGTTCAGCCTCTACATTATACACACATTATGAAGTCTTTTCTACATTATGATCACAATACTTTTGCTCTGAAACAGAAGCATGAACATACCAGTCACTTGAATCTTTGTATGTTTAAAGAAAATACGTATTCAAAGTTCTTTTACTTGTTGACATGGCCATTCTCAAGAGAGTAGACAGGTAGTGTTTAAATCATAAATATTACTTACTGCTTGCCTCCTCTAGCAAACTGCTTCCTACTTCACCCTGAGCAACCCACGAGACCTTTATTGTTATGACTGGACAGTGCCACTTTAGTTTTTCTTTTGAGACAATCTCACTGTGCAGCCTGGCTGGCCTGGAACTCCCTATGTAGACCAGGCTGGCCTGGAACTCTCAGAGATCTACCTATCACTGTCTCCTTCAGTGTCGGAAAGGCAGGTGCCACCATGCCTGGCAAGTGTCACTATTTAGATATGCACAAGTTGTACCTTGGTCGAGGACATCCTAATATATTTGCTCTCTGTACAAACTGTACCTTGGTACCTAATATATTTGTTCTCTAACTGGTTTTTCCTGCCTCTTCCTGATGGGTTGGGTACTGCATGAATAGTCATTAAAAAAACAAAACAACAAAACCTTTAAGAATAGTTGGAATATATACATATCATAGCTCTGGCTGTCCTGGAATTTGCCATGTAGACCAGGCAATCTGCCTGGCTCTGCCCCTAGCGCTGGGATTAAAGGTATGTGCCACCGCCACTCAGCTAATTAAAACTTTTTAACATTTTTATTTTTATGTGTGTGGGTGTTCTGCCTCCATGTATATCTGTACCATGTGCATGTAGTGCCCATGACAACCAGAAGTGGGCGTCAGATCCTTTAGAACTAGATTACAGATGGTTCATTATTGCCACACAGATGCTGAGAACTGAACCTGGGTCCTCTGCAGGAGCAAGTACTCATTTCTCTTTGGATTGCTGGTTGTGCCTTTGTAATGTAGAAACTAATAAAATATATGGCAGGTATGGAGATGTAATTTCCGTGCCTGAGAAGCAGAGACAGAAGGAATGGTGACAGGAATCTTTCCTTTCCGTGAGGCTTTTTTGTTTGTTTTTTCGAGACAGGGTTTCTCTGTGGCTTTGGAGCCTGTCCTGGAACTCTCTCTGTGGACCAGGCTGGTCTCGAACTCAGAGATCTGCCTGCCTCTGCCTCCTGAGTGCTGGGGTTAAAGGTGTGTGCCACCACGCCTTTTCCTGAACGCACTTTTATATCTTACTTGTTTGGTGGGGGTTGGGACACACATGCCATGGTGCATATGTGGTAGAATAGTGGTACACATGCCATGATGGATATGTGGTGGGGTGGGGACACACATCCCGTGGTGCATGTAACCGGGTAGGGCATACATGCCATGGTGCATATGTAGCAATCAGAAGACTTGTGAAGTCTGTTCTCTCACCCACCATGCGGGTCTCCAGCATTAAACTCAGGTCATCAGGCTTGGCCAAAAGCTCCCACTGAGCCATCTCACCCCCCCTGAGTACATGTTTCTTTCCAATCCTCTTTCCATCTCTGCAAGAGCTACATGCAGACTCACTCACTACGCACTAAGTAGCATGATTCAAAAATCTACCCTTCCACTGCCAACCTCATCACGTGAGCTGCTTTACAACATGCTAGTCAACAATCCTTCCTGAGCTAGCCCTCGACATCCCTGATTAGATCTACGAGATAAGGGCCTGTCTTCCCTGATCCAGAGACACATAAATGGCCTCATTCCTTAGACCTAGTAATCAGTAGAATTGCTCACTTGCCCAGTAGGTTTTTTTCAAGGGATCTGCATAAATGCTAGGACAGAGGCTGGAGGTATGTCTCAGTGGTAGAGTGCATGTTTATTTATGGTATACACAAGGCTCTGATGTCTTTTCACCAAGAGTTAAGCAAATAAATTCTGGGACACTTTTTCTTTGAGATGTTATGGCCTGATAATAACTGCTAAACCTGAGTCTCTCAGTTCATGGGTGATAGATGGCATACACACACACACACACACAAAAACTAAGACACAAACAAGGAAAACTATTTAATCTCTGTAATAAACTTCATCCTCACGTTCCTGTTTATCTGACAGCCTCCACAAACTGTTAAAATGGCAGAAACCCATAGGACCACAGAATTCACAGCAAGTTAGCCCAGCCAGTTTGAAAGCCATCGTGGCCCTAGTCCTTGCCAAGGATGATGTGCAGGGGAGGTCTTTCCATTACATGCCTCAAGCCTTGAAGCTCAGGAAGGTTGACCTCTACAGGACTCCTGATGTCTTCTGTTCTTCTGCAGCCTGGCGCCGGGCACTGCGCAGCTGGAAATAATGGTAGGCTCGGACGCTACAGAGGTAACCCCCGTACACAGTGAGGAGCATCATGGAGGCAGAGAAGGTCTTGTAGCCAATGTCAGCTAGCTGCTTGGCAGTTGGCATGTCTTGTCCTACGAAAACAGATTGGAGTTGGTCTCCAGGACAGGCCTCATCTCCTTACTTAGAGCCATTCTTTATCATCTACATCTTCACTTCATTGATAAATCCTAAGCTGGTGATCCCACATGGAGCTCTCTGACTCAAAAGTCTGCATGTCAGGTCCACAGAAGGCTGGGAGTAGGTGCACCTGAATGCTGTCAAGTTAACACTCAGCCATCCTTGCTTGTGCTTTAAAAAGTGATTAGCCCACCCAGACTGTGTGATGGTAATCAAACCTGGGTCCTCTGGAAGAACAGCAAGCACTCTTAACTGCTGAGGCAGTCTCAGAACCACATTTTAATCAGACTACTTAACTGTGGTAGTCAAACTCTACCCTCATGTTAGGACCCAAAGATAACTCAAGGATGTGGGAAAGGGAGGGTCCCACTCCCAGTGTAGTCATGCTGAATAAACCCCCCTTTTCTGTTTTCCACTATTAATCTGGCTTTCACAGTTGGTCTACTGAGACTTGTTAGGGCTGGAAGGGCACAGGCTCTGACCGACCCTCAGGGGACAGTCAGTTAGGGCTACCTGGTAAACAGGAGACTGTCTCTAGTTGGGTCCAGGGTTGAAGTCAAGTTAGTGCGGTGAACTAGGAGAGGGACTCTAGGCAATAGGTAGAAAACACAGGGCGCCAGCAGACTTTAAGCCCCGCAAGATCGGTGTGTCTAGTGTTCTTCCAGGAGAGAGAAAAACAGGTCGCTAAAAGGATCATAGACTCCACACCCCAAAAACAAGAATTAAAATTCTTACAATTTAGACGGTGGGATTAAGAGAATGAGAAGGTAACAAGATCAAGAAAATTCTAGGCACTCGGGCTTTTTTGAGGCAGTCTTGCTCATCACACTAGGTTAGCCTCTTGATCCCCCCTTCTCTGCCCTCTGAGTGCTGGAATCATGGGTGCACCAGCCAGTCACTTAACAATGCTGACACCCAGTTCCACCTTGTTCGCTGACAAAGATCTGAGTATGTGCTAAAATGGGATGTAGCTCAGTTGGCGGACCACTTGTCTAGCATGCACAGAGCCGGAGGTTCAATCCTCGGCACCGCATTAAACGCAAGAGGACATGGTATATGCCGGAAATCCCAGCACTGAGGATGTGGAGGCAGGAGGATCCTAAATTCAACATCATCCTTAGCTACTTAATGAATCCCAGGCCAGTATGAGATCCTGTCGAAAAAAAAGGGAGGGGGGGTTTGATACAAACAGAAGCAAATCCAGGACAGACTCTGAAAAACTGAAATTGTAGAGCTGGGCGTCGGTGGCGCACGCCTTTAATCCCAGCACTCGGGAGGCAGAGGCAGGCGGATCTCTGTGAGTTCGAGGCCAGCCTGGTCTAAAGAGCGAGTTCCAGGACAGCCTCCAAAACAAGACAGAGAAACCCTGTCTCGAAAAACCAAAAAAAAAAAAAAGTGAAATTGTAGGCACAGGCACAAGGATCGACTTTGGAAACAAAAGAAACTTTGGAGACTGGCAGAATGTTTTCACCTGATGGGCTTTTTTTTTTCCCCAGAAGTTGTTAGAAAATGTAGGGATGGACTGCAGGTTACAGTAAAGCAAGAAAAATATGGGAAGACTAATCATGATAAATGCCATAGAGGTGCAATTTGCAGGGGTTTTGTGACCCTATGGTATTCTGCCCTCTAACGTCAGAGAGCTCAAGACTCATGTTTCTGGAAAATTCAGAGCCCCTCAAGACGGACCTCTCGCTCTAGTTCTGGGTGTAATCCGAGGCTCAAAGAGTCAAACACAGACACACACACACACACACACACACACACACACACACAAATCGCAGCCCTAAAAAACAATCACCCGAACTGAGGTTCAGTCACTTAGCCGTCTTAGGAGGTATCTGGTGTCCGGAGAAAACAGCTCCTGACTCAAGCTGAAAAGGTAAGCTATGGACCCCACAGTCTGTCGGATAAGCAGCAGGTGAAGACCGCAGAGACGCGGCTTTGTGGGATCCTGAGAAGCTGTCGGAAGGCTGTGGGTTTGGGCTGCATTTACAGGAACCGGCAGATTAGAAGAGGAAGGGCAGTCGGGCCGCAGTCACGCCATGAAGGCGGTAGTGCCCAGGCAGTCAGGGGACCCGTCGGTCGCGGTCACCCTGCAGGGCAGGATCGAGCGCAGCAAACGCGGGAGCAGCGCGCTCTCAAGGGCACAGGCCGAAGACTAGCGGCGAGCGGAGGAGCCGGGGAGCGGGCGAACAGGCCCGCGGCCTACCTGGATGTTGCAGCTCGGCCGCGTCAGAACGCTTCCTACTCAGTCTGCCACTTGCAGTTAGATTCGCACGGCAGAAACCACCCGGACAACCTCAGTCTCTGGTGCGGAGCCCTGGCCGTGACCCCCACAAATCCTGTGAAAACCCGCCCACTCTGGCGGGAGCCGGTTCAGAACTTCCGGCTTCCGCCTCGCTCTTCCTGGCTCCGGATGCTTAGACTAGTCTTCCTTTCCGGAAGGCCCATTGAATTCTGGGAGTTGTGGTTCCGCTCCATCAAGAGCATTTGCTTGGCGCCCCAAACTTGGAAAACCGGGAAATTTTTAGCTCAGAACCAGCCAATCTGCAGTTAGGTGCTGTGACGTAAACTGTAGCTAGGGAGATTCTCTTGAACTTCTCTAGAGATGGACCGCGCGCCCCCTAGTGCTTGGGGCGGGCTTTCACTGAGTGATCCTGCTGTGGCCGACCTCAGGTAGGTACCGGTACTATGAGGCCACAGCATCACGAGGGGTGCCTCGCTAGTGGTTCTGCCTTGTGCGCGACCTCCTCGTATGCAGGCGGCATGACAGAGCCCCTAAGTAGCGCTGGGAAGACTGGGTGACAGCTTGGGTGGAGGAGCGGATAGGAGGCGCAGGCGCAAGCGGGGGCGACGGGAGAGAGGACAGGGGAGAGTGGATGTCATTGTTGGTCTGCCGATTTATGTCCGAGTGTGGCTGCTGCTATGTAAGAACGATACTTTTTTCACTTGTCTTACATTGAGTAAAACATGCATGCAGTGATACATGACCCTGCCACCTGCGCCGCCGCAAAAACCCTGCTAACTTTTCCAGTTTCTGGGAGGAAAAAAAAAAAACACACACACTTTATTGGGTGGACAAGTGGCCTGACAGAAGACCTCAGGTTCACAGGTGACTGACCGAGCAGAGTAGAGGTGTTGTAATCTGTGTCTGCATCCTACCCCAGCCTCCTGGGGACAGCTCTGAATTCAGTCAATGCGTGGGAGGGTTCCGGCTCAGTCAGGAGGGATGAAAGGGCTCCTTCTCTTCACCTATCCCGACCTTCGCTGGTAAGACCGAATTCTTAAAGGCTGGGAGCAGAGAGGAGCCTGGCACCTTAGTGTGTTAAACATAAAGCTGGCCAGGGCCACCGGCTGCCAGTTACTGCCACACACGAAATAGAGAGCCCTGCTGGAGAGAAAAGCCTCTCAACTCTCAGGGCCTATTTATAGCTGGGGCTCCCGGCTGCTGATCTGTGACATTTTCCCGCTGCCCCAACCTTGGAAAAAGGCCAGTGCCCACTACTTCCCATCCCCCTTCTGTTCTGTGCTGCTTGCAGTGTCCCTCCCTTAGCTTTCCCAGCTCCTGGTGTGTGTGGTTAGTACTTCACCGGGACCTCATTCCAAAGAGAGCTGGCACTGAACTCTCAAGAGCCACCAACCATGTGGAAACCTACTGAACCATCATTGAGCTCCTCCTTGGCCCCAAGCCTCCAGATACTGGCTGGCACTCCTGGCTGTGTCTCAGAACAGCTGAAAGAGGTACTGGGCTGGGCAAGAGGAAGGGGCAGAGTCAAGCCTATGGGATGCAGGAGCTGATGAGGTTAAGCTATGAACCCTAAATACATTGCGTTAGACAAGAAGGTGGTGATGCTCCCAAAGAGAAGCGGCCGTGTGGGGAGGACCTGAGAAGAGAGAGATGGGATTGGGATACCTTCTTCAAAGTGTCAACCCGAGGATAGGCCGCCCGGCACTTCCCCCAGTCGGAGCTACTGACTAGGGAGGGGGCGGGACAAATAAGAAGGTCAGAGGAGCCTGCGTGATCTGAGCCTGCTATGAAAAAGTGTAGCTCGGTCAGCAGATTACGTTCCTGCTCCCCAAAGAGGGTGCTGGCGGCTGGGTGCGGGCAAGAAAAAACCTGGAAAGGTCACACAGGGTGGAGAGGCGCTGGCAAAGCTCTAGGAACCAGGAAGTCGGCTGGGAAGCATGGCAAGCCCCCGGGGGCCAGAGATGCCAGTGTGGAGCAATTCTTGTTCCAGGGTAGCCTGGGGGAGGGGAAACAGAATGAGCAGAGGCTTCTGAGGACGCAATTGTTGCTAGGAGAAGTGAGAAGGGAGTTGTTTGAGGTCTTTGTATTTTGCTAACAAACACTAAGATCACTGATCTGCGTGGGGCCTCGCAGAGGTCAGCCACTGGGGTCTGTCAGCTCAGGTGCCCGGACCCTTCCCTTGGCAGCCTTTGCCTTCCTGTGGCTGAAGCACTTCTTCAGTCTTTTTTTTTTTTTTTTTTTTTTTTTTTTTGGTTTTTTGAGACAGGGTTTCTCTGTGGCTTTGGAGGTTGTCCTGGAACTCACTTTGTAGACCAGGCTGGCCTCGAACTCACAGAGATCTGCCTGCCTCTGCCTCCCGAGTGCTGGGATTAAAGGCGTGCGCTACCAATGCCCGGCTAGTTCTTCAGTCATCTAGTGGGGCTTGGGATACATTCCCAGTGTGTGTGAGGCAGCAATCGGCAGCCCTTGACCCCGCACCTTCCCTTCCCCCCACCCTGCCCCTGGAGCAGGCAGCCCTGGGGCTTGATTCTAAGCTTCCCAGAGGCCAGTGAGCCAGCCGATTCTTCAGGAGGCTCTGTGGGCCGTTCAGTATCTCCAGGTGTGGAGCTAAGCCCCACAACCTCCCGTCCTCAGTGTCCTCCAGTGAGCACCCTGCTGGCTGGGGAGTCCTGGAGAGCACTCTGATGACAGGTGTCACAGCTTCTGCTTGTCTCCGTTGAGGCAAAGGAGCTGCCTGTCCTGGGCCCTGGCCCCACTCACATGTGTTCTGGGTGGTTCTGCAGGCAGCGGATGAACTCACCCACTGGCTGACCCTCGTAGCACACTTTGTACACAGCAGTGAACAAGGGAAACCTAGAATGAGAAGGAGGCTCAGCTTAGCCCGTTACTCTCAACCACCCTCTAACACCACACCCACCCAGTCCAGACCCAAGGGCTAACCCACACTTCCCTAGCCTCCAGCCTCAGGAGTTCAGGCAGACACCAGTACCACCTGCGGGGAATCTGAATTCCTAGCCATAGGATTTGGGGGTGCTGTCTGCCCTGATCCTTACCATACTGTACTTGCTTATCTGAGTCCCAGGCTTTAAGACATTTCTGTTTCTGACTGAGTAACCCATTTAACTCTGGACCTCAGTGTCACTGGCTGTGAAATGGGTCCAGTGTGATAAAGTCGCAAAGATGTAGTTGTTTACGCTTCACGAGGCCGTACACTGTGCCAGCTACTTCTGGTCGTCCTTCAGTGGCTATTTCCTGTACCCAGAGCCGTGAGCTATTCTTCTGAACCTGTACCACACTCTTTTCATCTGGGATTCCCTCTGAGTTTCCAGGAACACTCTGAGGCAGAGCCCAGCCTCCTCAGCACCCAGGACAGGTGTCCGGGGGACAGAAATGGTGGTGTTAGGGGAAAGGACAAAGGGGTACAACAGTCAAATGAGTTTTCCTGTCCTAGAACTCCAGCTCCTAGGGCAGGGGTCAAGGAGGAAACAACAGACAGGGGAGGGTCCACACAGCCAGTGTAAGGATCACGACACAGAGTGCTCTCCAGAGGGTGAGCTGGCTGAAGATGCTCGGAAGCCCGGACTCTCCAGGCTCTCTCTGTTCATCGTGCGGCTGTGTGTATGTGGTTCAGGAAGATGGGGAAGAGGGTAGCAATCAGCTTCTGGCTGCCCCCCCCTCGGCTGTGGCAAACACTCACTTGTCCACCAGGCCCTTGTGTTGGAGGATGCTGTGGAGCTCCCGGGCTGTCTGGGGCCCCTGCAGCTTCTGCCCATTCAGCATCTCTTTCTCCAGCTGCTCAATGGACTGTGAAGAAGATGGCATGTGGGTGGAGGTGGGCAAGGCTGCCCGAGCAGGAAAAGCTGGTGGTCACTGGGAATTGGGATCTTGTGGGGAGGGGTTTGGGGATGCTCAGAGCAATCTCCCCTTCCCGGTGATTGAACCCAGGGCCTCAAGCAGACTCAGTATAGTAAGTGCTTGCTTTACCACTGAGCAGCGTTCCAGGCTGCATAGCCTTGTGGGCGTCATTCTCCTGCTTCAACCTCCCAGGTGCACCGTGCACAGGCACCTCCCTGCTGACCACCCCCACCTTGACACCTGCGTGCCTACCTTTCCAGTGCGAGCAAAGGCCTCTGCCACCTTTCGGTTCCGCCCTCCATAGCAGGTAGTGATAAGATCAGCAATGCCGCAGCTCTCCAGGAAGGTGGCGGAGGACACAGAGCCACTGCAGAAGAGCTTGGCAAAGGCGATCATCTCCATGAGCCCCAGCCGGATCACTGCCGCCTTGGTGTTGTCACCAAAGCCAAGCCCATCACAGAAGCCAGCCCCAACGGCCACTATATTCTTTGAGGAATAGAGGTCATGGGTGAGAAAGTTTCCTCTCCAGCGACTCCCTGTGCTATCATATTAGCCATGACACGCCCACTCAGTGAAGTATGATGTGGCCTCCTAAACTGTGTCCTCTGCCTACTGATTTCCCATTTAAAGAAAGCATGCCTATTCCTCTCTCTCTCTCTCTCTCTCTCTCTCTCTCTCTCTCTCTCTCTCTCTCTCTCTCTCTCGCTCTCTCTGTGTGTGTGTGTGTGTGCACACGCGCCAGTATATATCTGGGTGTCTATGTGTGTAGAAGCCAAAGATTGACATTAAGTATTTTCCGCAATCACTTTCCACCTGTATTATTATTATTTTGCCAGACATGAACCTTAGCAGGCCTAAAACTCACTCTGTAGACCAGGCTGGCCTCAAACTCACAGAAATCTGCCTGCCTTTGCCTCCTAAGGGATGGGATTAAAGGTGTGCTTTACCATGCCCAGACAACCTTGTTTTTGAGACAGCATCTCTCTGTGAACCTAGAGTTCATGGGTTGAGCTTGACTGGCTGGCCAGCAGGCCCCAAAAACCTTCTGCCTCTGCTTCCTCACTGTTGGAATTATAAATGCACCATTGAGCCTGGCTGTTTAACCACTGGCCTTGTTTTGTTTTATTTTTAATTATTTATTTTTATTGACATTGATGTTTTTGCTGGCATGTATCTCTGTATCTCTGTGTGAGGTGTCAGATCTTGGAGCCATCTCTCCAGCCCCTTTTCTTTTCTTTCTTTCTTTCTTTTCTTTTCTTTTCTTTCTTTTTTTTTTTTTTTTTTTTTTTGAGACAGGGTTTCTCTGTTTTGTTTTGGAGACTGTCCTGGAACTCGCTCTGTACACCAAACCTGGAACTCACAGAGCTCTGCCTGCCTCTGTCTCCCGAGTGCTGGGATTAAAGGCATGTGCCACCAACACCTGGCTCCCCTTTTCTTTTTAGGCAGTGTCTCACTGTGTGTCCCTGACTGTCCTCAAGCTCACAGATATTTTCTTGCCTCTCCCAAGTGCGGATTAAAGGTACATGCCGCCACAGTTCTGGCCATAAACTTTTTGGGTACCCTGAGCATCTTGTTTCCCATTAACCTGGACATTTCTTTGGCATGGACCACCACATGGACCCAGGGCTGAGTATGTCTCAAAGGAGCGCTAAGGAGACTAGAAGAAGAGCCCACTGCTGGGTGGATACGAATCAGTAGGCCCAGTTACCCTGGCCTCGAGTAAGGGTCTTCTATGTAAGGGAAGATGTGATGTGGGAATGGGAATATTGACCAAGTGCAGGAGCTAAGCCGGGCCCTCTGGAGACCACTCCCCACTCCAAAGCTGCCCCTGTACCCTCTCACCTTCAAGGCCCCACAGATCTCCACTGTGTCCACCTCTTGTACCACAGTGATGCGAAAGTTAGGTGTCTGCATCAGCTCCTTCAGGAGCTGTCCCTGGGCAGAATCCTTGCAGCCTAGAGTGGAGAAGGGGTAAGGCTTTGAAGGAAAACACTTTATCTTCAAGGTGGGCTCTTGCCATGTTCCTGGAACTCCCGGGCTCAAGAAATCTTGCTGCTTCAGTCTCTTGAGCAGCGGGGACTACAGGTACACACCACTGCACAGGTACGCAGCAATGGGAAAGTGAACTGTCCCTCACACACCAGTCAAAGCAAGCCACACAGCCCCTCCCTGGGGCGTCCACCCTCCCGCAGCTCTGATGCTTTCTCCTTCCTAGGCCCTGTGGGATTAGCTAAGGGGCTCGGGAAGCAGCCAGAGCTTCATGGTGTGTGCAGGGGCTCTCACCAATGGTTGTTTCACAGAACTTCTCATCAGCCACCTCGCTGGCAATGTTGGCCCCCATCAGCACACTCATGGGGATGCCAAGGCGTTCCCCAATCACTTCAGAGATGAGCTTCAGTCCGTTGGGGCCCTCGTCTACCCCCTGGGCATAGGATGAGGCTCAGGCCGGCTGTCCTTCACACCCAGCTGAGGGCTTCTCTCCCAAGGCCACTGCTTCTCTGTGCCTCTCTCCAGTGGTCCTGCCCCGACACCACCCAGCCTAGACTTGCTATGAGGACAGTCGACAGCAGTGACCACCAGTCTCATCAAACTCCCCCCCCCACTCTCAACCAACGTTCCTCTCCAAAGTAGTGTATTCCTTACATCCCAAAGAACTCTCTAGACACCCAAACCACTTCTAGCCCAAGGACTGCTTCAAACTAGCTGCCTCACCATCTCCCAAGACAGCTCACCTCAGCTCCCTCAGCTTCCATGCCTCCTAAACTTCTCTAGCACATGTCTCCGTTACTGTGTCGTCTTCCTCAAGCAACCTGGCAGTTGACTCTTCTTTTCTCCTCTCCTCCACTCTCATGCATGCTAAGGAAATTCTCCACCACTAAGCCACACTTGCAGCCCCAACTGCTTTCTTAGTTCGCCCTAAAGCCAGGCCCTCTCATCTCTGAACTCTTTCTGCACCCCACCCCCACAAAGGGGTCTTTGGTACCTTAATAAGAGATATGCCAATAGTATTGGCCTTCAAGTGGCCCCTGAGCTGGTCACAGATCTTGCCAATGAACTGATGGGGCACCACAAAGATCAGGATGTCAGCATCTGCTGCAGCCTGGACAACATCTGGGACAGCCACCTGTGGGGAGACCAGATGCTCATGTGCCTGGCGGCCCTCTCCTAGTCCCTAGGGGACTCATTCAGAATATCTTCAAGTGGTGGTGCTGCGGGGGTTGGGGGGGTGGCATTTGAGACTGAACTGGAAGACCAGAACTTCTTGTATTCTGTCCCCAACTGTCCTGCCCCCTACACTACAGCTCTCCTGGGTCCTTGAGACCTCCTGGAGCACTCCTCACTACAGCCACACTCTTGGCCCTTGGCTATGGGTCAGTGAAGACTGCCAAAGGCAGCCTAGGCTTGGCAGGAGGAAGAGGCCAAGTCAGATTTCATCACTGCTTCTTAGGGGCCCTAACTTGGCAGGGAGAACCCGGATCTTTCTGCCTATTCCCTGCTCCCCCTTTTCTAGGCAAGGAGAGTTCCATATGGATTTGACCAAAGACCAAAAGTCCACTGATCAGCCTTCAAATCTGCTAATAACCAGTGAATGAGTAACAGGATTAGAGTTCAGGGCAGGCACGAGAGACTGGACCCAAGTCTAGGAGCCTAAGAACCAGCCTTTGGTTGCCACAGAGACCAACTTCTCCCTCTCCCGTCCTTTTCTCAGCTCGGCATCTATAAGGGGTGTACATTCAGATTCCAAAGAGTGCCCAAAAGGAGCAATTTAGGTGCTGCATGCCCGAGGGTACTCCAGGCCTGGAGTATCCCACCTGAGATACTCCCCCAGGCCTGCTGGCACCTAAAGTGGCCTCCTTTATGGAGGAGACCCCTGGAAGTCAGATTTGAGCACTGCACACCCTCCATAGCTCCCCTCTCTCCTCCCAGTGAGTGGGGGCTCACCACATTGGGGGGGCAGCTTATGCCCTGGCAGATATTTAACATTCTCATGCTGCGTGTTGATGATCTCAGTTAGCTTCCTGCCCCCGATGTCTTCCTCAAACACCCATATAGTCACCCGTGGGTCAAAGTGTGCCAGCCGAGCCGCATTGCTACCCACGATCTTGGCAATGGCTGAGCCCCTGTTGGGAGGGGAAACACAGAAAAGCGTAGTGGGAGGAAGGGAGGAAACAGCCTCCTGGGTAGGACCTCAAAAAGCTTGTTGGATTTTTTACATCTTACCTCTCATGTCACCCCCCACCCCACCCCCATCTCCTGTGAAAAATGTGCCCCCCCACGATTGGCAATAGAGAGGAGATTCAGCCTATCCTAGTCTTTGCTGTTGGGGAGGTGGGCCAACTTTCTGACCCCACCCCGAGCCCTAGCAGCTTTTCAGGCAGGGAAGGGAACAGAGCTCTCTGCTCACCCTCCTATGGCGAACAGGTGCAGCTGCCCAGGCAGGCACAGCGAGGGAAGGCTGGGCACAGTGTGTCCTGTGCGCAGTAAGCACTGGAGATAGCCCCAGGAGTTCAGCAGGCTCCGGGGGCTTTCCTACCCTCTGCCTGTTTTCCGCCCACCTAGACTCCCTTTGGAGAGCCCCTCTGCCCTTGGGGGAACCTGCCCTTCACCCATGCCCTTCACAGAACTGCTTACCAGTTTCCGGAGCCGACAATGCAGACTTTCTTGCCAGCCATGGTGCCGCTTCTAGCTTCTCTGCCCCAGCGGGTGTGGGATCTGAGTATTTAACTCCACCACACGTGGGTGCAGCCAAGCTCCGCCTCTGAGGTGGCCCAGAGACTGACGCCTAGGAATAGGGAGTCTGGCCCAGAGAAAGGCGAGTAAAAGGGTAGAGACCGGTGGGGAACAGGAATGGGGCAGAAGCCAAACCAGCTTTTCCTCTCTGGTTTGCAGTGGATGGTGCTGGCCAGTTTGCTCCCTTGGCCTCTGTTTAGTTTCCCACCTACTTGCAATGGGCTCATCTTGAGGCTGGCCAAGAACCAGTCCCCACTATTCCCTCGGTCCCCAACACTGAAATAAATTGCAACTAGCAGGTTTGGGCATGGTGTGCGGGTCTTTAATCCCAGAGCTTGGGTGGCAGAAGCAAGATCTCTATGAGTTCAAGTCCAACCTGGTCTACAAAATGAGATCTTGTCTCAAAAAAAGAAAGGACGAGGGGAAAAAGGAACTAGCATTAGTGACAAATGGAGGGATGTTTTCAAAAGCAGGCTCGTCATCGAACGCTAGCACACACCTCCCTGGCTGCTCCAACTTTGTTCTTGCATATTCATTCTCATGGTGTTAACCCCATCACAGGCTCTGGGTGAGGGGGTAAGGGAATGTGAGCCCACTTCTAGGGGGGATACCCCCACAAGGTGAGAGGCCACTTTAGGGTACCCCAGGCCAAGGATAAGCTATCCCAGGAGAAGCTGGGAGTGGTGGCACACACCTTTAATCCTAGCATTTGGGAAGCAGAGGCAGGTGGTTTTATGAGTTTGAGGCCAGCCTGGTCTACATAGTTCCAGGACTGCCAGGGCTACACAGAGAAACCCTGTCTTGAAAAACCAAAAAGAACAAGGTCATCTTGATTCATATCAGGAACTCCCAATGAGTCCCTTCACCTCAGATAATCCTCATTTGAAGGTCTATAAAGGGAAGGCAAGGGAGATCAAAGGTAGGCCTCTGTTGCCACGTGGTCCACAGTTCTTCCAGGCTTCAGGAAGGACAGACTGGTGGTGACCCGCATGTGTACTGTCCCAGAGAAGCTTGCTGCTTTCTTCACTTCCCTCTCTGGTTCTGCCGACCCCACTGGGACCCTTAAGTTAAATAGGTAGCTTACAGAGACCAGAAAGGAGAATGCAGGCTTACAGCAGCGCTGTCTAACACTCAGGGGTGGCTGTGTCTCTAGGAGCTATGTGGTCTCTGATGCCCATGTGTGACTTTGGGGGAAGGGGGAGGGAGAATGCCAGCCCACACCCAGCGGTTAGGGCTCCATGACATCCACAGCCATCTGTTTGACTAAGGGGAGGAGCTTGGGTTTCCAAGCCACTCTGGAAAGCACAGGGCAGGCTCCTCACCCTCCAGTGCTGCACCTTGACCCACAGGGCAGACGCCACTGTATGCTCATGTGCAGACCTCCTGGCTTGGCAAACCAGTAAGCACGTGTTGCTATTCCCCAGGCTACCACTGGCCAGTAACAGTAATAGCACTAGGTTAGAGGGGAGACTTGGTGTAATCAGTGGTAAAGAGTAAGTGGGTAGGAAGTCAAGACTGGAAGCATGTCTTTTCTCAGTCCAGGGATTCCACAGAAAAAGCCCACCATATTATCATGGCCAGGCAGTCCCTATAATGGGGACAAACATGAATCGGTTGTTTTTCATCTAACTTGCCTCTAATGCAGAACTAGCCTCCCACAGACCACTCCTTTATCACACTGGCACTGAGATGAAGGCACCAGTGCCAGGCTGCCAGCTGGGAGCCTGATTATGAGCGGTGGAAGAGAAAGGATGTTCCTGTCCCTGGCACCTATGATAGGAACCCTAAAGAATGGGCATTCATGCATGAGATGAATGCCTTGTTTTTGCCCCTCCAATCCCATTAGGTAGTGTAGAGAAACAAAGCACATGGCCATTTGCATGGGAATAAAGGGGGTGCTTGTTACAGAAGTTGTCTGTATCACTGAAGCTTCTCTAAGAGCAAGCTGTAGAGTACCTGCTTGAAATTCATCTGTCACTCATTACATATGCAATTAGCCTGGGTAAGGACAGATGCCATCTCGGTGCCCTTGACATCCCATTTCTCTATTCCAAGTTATTTACCCCTCTTTCCCTTCTCAATTCTGAGGAACCAGTTTGTTCTAGATTGTGAGCGGACAGACAATGCAGGCATATTTCCACCCATCTACTCAATGGGAATTTTATTTTTGTGAGACAGGGTCTATGTAGTCCTGGCCTTGAACTCACAGAATCCTCCTGCTTCTGCCTTCCAAGTGCTGGGATTAAAGGGTGTGCTGCTACGCCGCACTGATGGGTAAGATTTGTAACGGTGACTTCAGAATACAGCAGCACTCACTGCTCCTCACTCTCTTCCTGGACAAGAGCACAGAAGTGAGCCACCAGGTGGAAGAAGGCAGAACTGCAAGCATGTCATACTTTTAGTAAGGGGAATTAAGATTCCTAAGCAGCAGCCAAGCAGCCCTCTTACTCAACACAAGGATAAAGCAACCATTCTACACTGGATTTAAGAACAGACTTCTGCCGGGCGGTGGTGGTGCACACCTTTAATCCCAGCACTCGGGAGGCAGAGGCAGGCGGATCTCTGTGAGTTCGAGGCTGGGCTGGACCGATAGCCTCCAAAACAATACAGAGAAACCCTGTCTCGAAAAACCAAAAAAAAAAAAAAAAAAAAAAAGAACTCGCTCTGTAGACCAGCCCAGCCTCGAACTCACAGAGATCCACCTGCCTCTGCCTCCCAAGTGCTGGGATTAAAGGCGTGGCCACCAACACCCGGCGTACCTTGGGTATTGCATTACGCACCTGTAATCTCCATTTGGGGGGCTGAGGCAGGTGGATAGTGTGAGTTTAAGGTCAACCTTGGTGACATACAAACCCCCCCATCACTAGAATACAACACAAAGAAAACCCTGGTATCTTGGGGCCTTAAGTGGAACCTCAGTAAGTATGAGACCAGTATTGATGGTTTTGTACAGAAAATCCAAACGCCTGCTGTCACCAGGGCCTTGGCAATAGCTGCATGGACATGTGCCTTGGGGACAGTAGAGACTGGTTTTATCAACATAAAGGGGCCACAGACACCAAGGACAGGTTGTTTCAGTCATCAAGTGACCTAGAGATTTCAAGGACAAGGGAAAAGCCAGCAGTGCCACTGTCTTGCCCATTCTTGATGGATCGAGATGGGTGCAACCATTCCAAGAGTATAGCTTGCCTGGATACAGAGTCCCCAAGGGAGACCCATTTCTCCAGACCCCCAGAACCTGGCACAACTGACACCTATCAAGCACTCAATAATACCTGTCAAATAAGATGGCACTGGGCAGGGAAGAAGGTCCCACAGCAGCAAGCCCACAGGCAGACAGACAGCAGCAGACCCACAGATACGACTGCAGAAGGCCTACAGACAGACAGGCAGTCAGACAGACAGAGCAGGTCCATTCTTCAGAAGAGTCTTTTATTAAAACTGGGTGACATCAATAAGGAGACAATACAAAAAAAAAATTTGGTCCATAAAAAAAAAGACAAAAAAAAAAAAAAACAAAACAAAACCAAGCAAACAAAAACCCCACAGTTCAGTTAATAAACAGTCATCAACAGGGACACTCAGGAGTGCTGAGTTTCCTCATGACTCTTCCAGCCAGGAGTCAGGCTGGGGCTCAGCTGCCCCAGGGTTGTCCAGTGTCGCTGTCAGGAGAACTTTCCAAGGGGAAGGGTTGAGAACAGGGGGAAGACGGGGAGAACACTGCTGCCCCCAGCACAGAACAGGCAGGGAAAGGGGGCAGGAACACTTGCTCGCAGGAGCCTGAGGTGGGGTGGGGAAGCAGGGGCTTTGTCAGTTCTGTGAGTTCAGAGCCCATGCTCAACGGAATCCCCCTGTGCCCAGCTGTCTCCCACCCTGCAGTGTTGTCTGCGAGCTGAGCCTGGGGTATGCTAACTCCAGACGGTAAAACCTGGAAGAACCTGAGGCTCCCCTGGAAAGATGCAAAGACACTGTTCCAAGGGGTCAGGATGCCACCTACCTGCTGCTACCTGAGGGGTCTGAAGCTTTGAGGGCAGGGGGTGGGGAGTCACAAACCCATTTCAGACCTATTCTCCAGCCCTAGGCGCTTTCACTCCTCAGTGCCCTAGAAACCACCACTGGTTTCAGTTGGGCAGACATGGGACAGGAAGACAGGGATGACCTAGGGCTATACCCGTTTGATTTAGGCCTGTTTCTCCATTTAAGGAAGGGGGCAGGGTGGAGTGAATGAACAAGCCACTCCTCCAACAGCAGGAAGGAACAGCCTCTGCTGGGAAGGGAAAGACAGCACCCCAGCTTCGGTCCCTGGGGCTCTGACAGGGAAAGGCAGGATCCCCCTCCCAAATGCCATGGGGTGAGGCAGATGTGGGGAATCCTGTACCAGGCAGGCGGGTGGGCGGGCGGCCATGGGAGTGTGCGGGAGGGAGCAACAGTTTAAAACACACTCCAATACTGACATGGACCCACTAAGGGGTCACATAGTACTGAGACCCCAGGTCAGTCCAGAGGGCAGGGACCAACCTAGGGCTCAGTGAAGCCCAAGACCCTGGGCCCCTTTAGTGCTAGAGGGCAAAGAGTAAAGGGAGAATTTGCTCCAACCTGTGGAGGGAAGGGAGGAAGGTGAGTCACCAGGAGGGTTAAGGTCAACTAGCTTACAGAGTGCCCGAGGCTTGAGTCTCAGAGGAGGGGACAGCCCCCAAAGCCTGGGTCTCCTATAAGGGCGGGATCAGTGTAGCTGGTCTCCCTGAAGACCACCTGGCCTCAAGAGGCCCCAGTCATTTCAGAGCATTGATTACCACTACGGGTTCTCTAACACTATCTAGAGGTCCTATGTAGACCAGGGGTGGGGCAGGGAGGTAGAGGCACATGGGAACTTCATGGGGAGAAGCTGAGGGGGAAGAGGACACTAGGTGCCTGTGAAACAGAAATGTGACACCCTCTTCATCGTGGTGCTGTCCTTGAGCCAACAGCATCTCCTGGAGTGCCTCAAGCAACACCAGCACAGGTACGTTGAGGCAGGCAGCACAGGGCCCCAGCAGAATTGGTGT